ACACCTAGTGGCAGCGTGCCTTCGGATACAGACCCTCAACTAATTTACCCAGTAAGAATTCTTACCTCGAAAACATTCTCGCGTTAAACCCTGTCTGTCGTTCTTTGAGGGCTTGTTCGTGAGTTGCCTCAAACTGCCGTACGCGCGCGTAATATAAAATGGCGGCAAAAGTGTTCGTTGCGGTTAACTTTTAAGACACCATATCGTTTTGAGTGGTAAAAGTTCGTTGTGTTGTTTAATGACTTGTTTGTGCCGTGTCTTGCGCAATATGGAGAACTTTTTAGTATATTGATTAGTGTTTACACCTCGGAGAAGAGTTTGTCGTGATAATAATGTGCAATGGTGTGGGAAGCCTCTGGGTATATATAAACGACACGTATTCATGTATAAGGTGACGAAATATGACATGATTGTACTACTTGACATTATTAATTGCTTTCATACGTAATCTTATGCAATACGGAGTGTGAAAGTCTGCGATTGTCAACCAATAATAAATTTTACACGAGGCATTGTTATATTTCTTAATGTAAAACATGGTGATTATTATCGCATTGTTCTAGAACAAACGCAGTAAAATTTTTTTACTGGTTAAAGTTGTATTTTTGAAGACCTGCCTCAGTTCTGAACTAGTCTCGAACTCAAGCACACAAACGTATAATTACTTAAACTAAACAATAGCAATAATAATATTATTTATGCGCATATAAAATTTAAAAGTTTGGGGGCGGTTAATTTTCGGAACAATGCGGTTATCAGTGTATGAGAACTGCACACAGTCACATGTAAAATTTCGATTTTGCAAAACCCGGGATTTTTTTTGTTCCCAGTTTATATACATTTATATTACGCGCCTGTCAATTGGATCGATTCGATTGGGCTGAGACTTTTTTACCGTAAGCACGGATAATGTGTTGGGTGTATCATGTGTAACAAAAAATTTTTTTCGAAACACTTAATCACGTTTTTTCTTCTCTATTTTTTTCACTTTTGTACTACTAACCTTTAATTTTTTCCCCTTTTTTTTAGCAAAGATGTTAATACCGAATGAGATTGATTGTTTATTCAAAAAACCCGCCTGCACTGACGCGTTTTTATTGAAAACACAATTTTGTAAGCAAAAAAAAGATAATATAAAGGCAAAGTATTTGTTGTATTTGGAGTACCTATTATTTGGTGTAAAAACCAGATTGGTTTAAAAACTACGTCTGTATATCGTTTAACTACTTAGTATGTATCTGAAGGTAACGCTGCGAAATTTGCACGCAACGTGATTTACGCCAGACGTCACGTATTTTTTCTAGATTTTTACGCAGTTCTAACGGCATTACAAAAATCCGGCAGTAATGATTATACAAATCACACATGTTTTCTTACTTAAGAAAGGTATTCGCAAGTCGTTCGGTTTGATTATTTTCAGGGTTGTGGTTACATTGCTTGCATTAGGTATTATAAAAATTTACACGTAAGATAAAATATACGTCGACGACATTATATACTTTCAGACTTGACGTTGTATTTTATCTCTGCTTTATCATTTCTGGCTTTGAAACAAGAACTCATCAATATAAATCGCAACCCAACAAGTCCATCAATCTTACCCAAACCGTGAAACGTGCCTTTACCGGCAAGAAGATTTCTTATTTTAACGTAAAATTGATCTGTATACGCAATAACAGTTTTTGTCAATTTAGAAATGGCACTGCACGCGTTGTACCATACACTAAACAAATTATTTCTCATTATTTTCTATAACAATAATTATTGCTACAAAATACGTTGTAGCATTAGGAAAAGAGGAAACTCTTACTTATATATACTGCATATACTGTATATCACAACAACAGAATATAGGCTTGCTTCACTTTTGCAACACCCAGTTTGTTAATAACAGCTTCAATAAAAATGTGCCTGCTCAGCTTTGTCAGGCTACATAAAGTATATTAGATATATCGATGCGTTATTCTTTATGATAGGGCTGGGCTGGTAAGGTAACAGTGGTATTCAGATAGAGTCCTGCAACGAGGAGATCCAAAGTACAATGTGTACTACTGTTTACGCCGACTATTCATTATCACGGTAATATTATTTCCATATCACATAACCTTTGCCGTAAACAGGCACTAAGTGCATTTACTGGTATACAGTATGATTGCTTAAACGACATTCGAAATTATATTTTATAAGAGATACCGTCCGTCACTCGTCACATCATTTACACAATAATAAATAAAAAATGTTACAATTATTCAATACCGACTTCCTCCAAAAATATTTTTCAATGTATTTGGTTCTTTATAATCAAGGTGTCCTTTTGCAATTCTCCACACTGTCGTGTGCCACTGCCTCTAACCCAGCAACTTTTAAATCGGAAGAGTATTCTGCAAGCACTACGGCGTTCGTTACATACGCATCAATTACCCGTTGGACACGCAAGAGACCACCGAAGCACCAATTAGGACCACTGGTAGTAGGTAGGTAACGGTGAGAGAGCATCGTCAGAAGATGATGATGACCGCAAGCGTGTGCGCATAGTCCATAAAAACACATACCACTTTAAGCAGCCCATACAATTGTCGCCTGGCCAGTTCCAACAAACAGTTCCATATTACCCAATGAATAATCAACCTAGCGTCATAAACCGAATAATTTCCATGAGTTTAAGTTTCTTCTCCGACCGATGTACGACTTTGAAAGCAAAAACGATCGCACACATACCAGAACGACAGGTCGCTTTCCCTGGACCCGTTCTCTCACATAATACATGTGCCAACACCGAACCTGCCCTTCCCTGCTGCACTGTCTACACCCAACGCCCCACTGTTTATTGATTAGATCTCCAGCCTTCATCAAACTCGTCGGTAACATCATTGTCGTGTCGCGGTCAATGCCGCAAACACAGTATATTGCATTGCCTGAGACGCAACCACTTTAACGGCCCGCTGCGCAATGAACCTCCAAACGCAACGCCAAGATACAGTAACATCTCCGGCTGGAATGTCAAGGCAAAAGGCGTCTCGTTGCATGCGGGGAAAAAAAGAGTAGCCACGGCTTGGTAGTTTCATCTGTCGACTCGAGCAAATATCGCGTAATTGTAATCTTCACGGTTAGAGATGGAATCTGAGGGAGGCAGAGGTCAGGCGTCATTTGGGTGAATCCAAAAATTTCGAGTGGCACGCAGCATTTGTGCATTTTGTAGTCACCTAAGCCACCACCGGCTATTCCGAACAGTGAAGTGATCAGAGCCACCGTAGATGCTGTAGCGACAAAGCTAACAACAGCGACTGATGTTGCGGCACCTATTTCTCGGCCGCTACCAGGGGGCCGGCTAAAATATAGCAGAAGAAAATGTAAGATTAAAGAGAAAATAGGATATGATATAACGCTGCGAATATCTGATAATGCAATTCAGAGTTTCTCTTTCTGTGTATTTCACCTTCTTCTTTTCTGCTCCCTCGTCGCTCTTTTTATCTCTGATCACCAAGCTTGTTCTTACTCAATCCGCCGGTCAGCCCAACCGTTGTTCCAACTACCACTCCACCCGTGCAAACCATTTCATCTGAGAAGCACTCGCATGCAAATCCTTGTGAATGCCAATCTCTTTAGTCTCTTTTCCATCACCAGGTTCTGGTTTTGATGCCTTTTGCTGCTTAAAATACAATTGTTGGGCAATCGACTTTTCAAGATTCAGGATCAAAGACGATGAAAGTTCCAAGCGTCTCGCAAGACTGTTCGAGAGCGAGCATCATAAGTAGCTGAATTGATGGTAGATGTCGCAGAGCCGTCCGCGCGTGAGGAACTAGAAAGTATGGAGAATCCATCAGGCGAAGAACTATTTTTGCGGTGGATTCTGTTGTATGTGTCGTTTAGTAGCAGAGCCTTGTTTTAATCCTTGGCGCATTCTAAACTTGGAACTTTCTGCGCATTTGAGCAACTTTTGCGATAGTCCCAAAGATACTAGTAATAGATCAATGATAATCTGATCATTCAAAGTCGTTGGCAGACGCCGTATTGTATGTGAGTTGAATCTGTGTATTCGTATATTATTTGACTTAAAATTTGCTCTATTTACAAGAAGAGTGGTAATTATTGCAAATTTGGATTAATAAAGTAAATATCGAAGATATCTAATGATCAAGATCCATCAGCAACAATCCCTTAAATTATTCCACCTTTGATGTCATGAGTGTCCAAAAGTGAATAAAAAAAATGCTGCTTAAATAATTTATCAGAATCACCGCTTGACCACCATAGTTCGCATAATGTATACGCACAAGACAAGCTACGTTGAAACGATCTGTTTGTGTCCACTTCTCGCTAAACGACAGGATTCCATTTGAGTTATTAGAACATGAGTGATGAACGACTAGAAATCTATTTGAGAATGTCACGTGTAAATTGTGGGCGCGACGAAAAACCACTCGCGAAAGATTTTTTTGGCCTCACAGCTGATCTATTGGTGAGCTGTATGAAGAGATTGACTGTTTTTTATATGTTACTACCTCGATCGTTGGATTAACTGCTTTAAGTTTGACCTGCCGTAGCCTTCCCTTTGGTGCTTGTTAATAAGGGATTAATTGCAGCAACGTCATTCAGTTTCGCTGAATATAAATACTAAATATTTCTGTTTACATATTAGTTACTTTTCCACAGCTTTGTGATGTTGACTGTTCACAAGCAGCACCTTGGTCATTGCTACTATCTTGCAAAACTATCTCTTGACATAGTAACAACAAAATACATCCAATTTAAAGTAGTATAATAGTCTTACAATGATTTATAAAAAGAATCCAAAACTTTTTTAGTTGTGCAAGTTGATCTGGATCCAAATATTAATATTGAAACTCTTTCAAATTAGATCAGGGTATATGAAAACAGCTTTTATAATGTTAGAAATTACATGTGCATTAGCCAGACAACTAACTCTGGAATACCCAAAGATACTAACTTCTGACAATGTTTGGATCGTTGGAAACCGTCCACTCGGAGATATTATTTAGTTTTATACTATGATGTACGTGAAATTCTGGACAGGTTTCACGAACATGAACATGCAGTACAGCGACTTTTACGAACTCAAAGAGATCGGAGCTGGTGGCTACAGAACAGTCTATACTGCCAAATATAAAAAGTATTCTAAATGGATACCAGAGACTGTTGTGCTGAAACAATATAATAATAAGAATTTTGATCAGACTTTAGAATTATTTTGTTTCAGAGGTAAGCGATAATTGATAAGCGTCCACATGGATTGACAGATATTGACGATATTGTTAAAGAAGTTGGCGAGGATAATTCTAATTACAATGTATGGAATAGCATTTATCATAGTGATGTAATAGTAAAACCCTTATTACTATCACGTTTCAAAAAGGAGAGTAAATACTCTAGTAAACTCTTACCTATTACCTACCGGAGATTTGCCGACACCAAAAAATTGTCAATTGAGTTTCAGGTATAAAGATAAGAGTGCAATATGTTCTGAGCAGTAAGTCCTTCATAAATACCTAGTGTTATTAACTTTTCCGACATCAGATTATGATCGATACATTTATTTGAAAAGTTTAGGAGCTATCAATTTAGCTTGTGTATATAATATTTACTGTTATCGCCTAATCATATAGTAATAGTATACGTAAAACTAATGATTGCTAGATAGAACTAAGATTTGACATTATATCGCATAGTGTAAGAAATATGGTTATATCGCACTGTTTTATCCCCAAATTTTATCTATATTTTTTACACTGACAGGTAAAACACAAAGTAAACAATACATATTACTGCTTGAAAGAGAGAATAATGTGCGTACACCTGTTTCATATAAACTCCGTCACCTTATAAATTTGTATATATATATGCGTATTGCAATATATATTCCAAATATTGGAGTAACTAATCTCAATTGTGGCTCGCGTTATTGTCGCAGACAGCAGGATGTGTTTTATCTTTTCTGCGTTTCTGAACGGGAAAAAATGATAAACCGTTGGGCAGTCGTGGGTCGGTAAAAACGGCTGTGTTGAGAGTAAAACAATTTACGTAGCGCGTTATATTGTGAATGCACGTCTAGCAGGTTTACCGGAAACAAATTAGAATACTTATGTACTGTACATACGTACGTCTCCTTCTCTTCATTTTTTTTATCGTCAAATAACTCAATATCAATGACGTCAAGATTAACGTCAATAGGTTTCTCCTTAGTACCCTAGCCATGGCGAAAAAAAATGTTCGGATCATGTGAAAATGTTATCAATCCGACCGTACCAACTATTTATGGCAGAGAAGCCGATCAAAATAAACGCGTCTTATATTTCTTATTATAGATATCTTTATGCTGTGTAATGTTATTCTATTTGGTAAAAAATAAAGCCAAAGTTGCCAAGAAATGAAGTTTCGGCCGCATAAAATGAGAAATTAAAGTCTGATTACTCTATTTGGTAATTGAATAGTAATAGCCAAGACGAAATAACCGAGCATTATATCGCTTTGGCCGCGAGACATTTGTTCACTATATCTGCGATTAAATACACGGAAAGAAATATAAAAGAGCCATGATGTCTAATTGTAACTGCATCAAATTAAATCACACTCAACACAATAATAAACTAACATTAAACATATCCGATCTTATATACACTTTAACATTAAGAAACAAAATGAGCGCAATTAACACATCTCAAGGTATTCATAATAACATGCAACTCGGTTACTATGCTCATTGCTTTCATACTTATATTATCATATTAATATTCGTTGTTTAAGAACCAAGTGAAAAAAAGTGTAGCGGTTGTCACATAACGAAGAAAACGATCGAATTTTGCAGGCCAAAACGTAATGATCCAGAACATGAACATGCAACATGTAATCATTGTTCCGAAAGACTGAAAAATAAAAGAAAGACAAGAGTGGAAATGATGGAATCTAATACCGATCAAGACAGAAGCGTCATGTTATCCCGGAGTAACAGTGGATCAAGCACTACACAGATAAACAGTAATTTGACGGGTTTTCAATTGTCTTTCGATAGTGATGATTTTATTTCAGAATCAATTCCCTATCTATCATCGAATGAAATTATCGACGAACAAATTGAAGATAACCCCGATGCGATCCTGTATGAAATAAATGAAGTATACGATGTTATTTTCCGAGCATTTGAAGAAGCAAGATTATCTGAAGAACCAGTTGAACGTACCTTTGAAATTGAATTGGATACAGAATTGATGGAAATTGTTTCCGCCATTGACCACTCTTCTGATGTTAAGATGATAAAAGATAAATTCCGTGAGCTTTCTCGATTTCTCATCTGGCCAATTGAATCTGGCTCTGGTTATTATTGGGAAATACGAAAAATACACTTACGTACAAGACATAAACAGTTAACGAATTCCGCTACCATGTATCTTGGATGTACAATGCGAGATGATCGAGCATGGCAACGCCCAGAAGACCAAACTGTTATAAGACGGAGTGAAACTCGTGCACCTATTAATAGATATAACTGTGCTGGAAATATTAACCTATCCATTGATGTAGCGAACAGACGAGCTGTAGTCAATATTTCCCATCAGCTTCAACACGAACATCCAACATACCGACGGGTAATGTTTCCTGATAAAGCAAAAGAGTGGATCAGAACAAACATACATTATATTTTGCAAAACACGAGCGTATATCGAAGACTCTGTGATGAAAACCTTATAAATCCAGAGATACATACGAAAGAGCAAGTATACTACTGGACATCATTGTATAAAAGAAATAGTTATATAATGAATCGGGAAAACCAACTTGTCTCAGCAAAACTATACCTCGAACAGCCTAAGTTCTCTGTAAAAGGATTCAAGACGCTCACATACATAGAAAACGAATTTGTGCGGGCACTGGGATTCATAACGCCATTGTTCGGAAGTATTGGTGCTGAAACAGTAACAGAGGTTATCATTGATTCCACATTCAAAACAAATCAAGAACGGTTTGAACTGTTTGCAGTAAACGCTAATTGTGGAGGGTACGGTATGCCTATTGCATATTTATACCTCTGTACTTACGATGGCACAGAAGAAGCTCGATCCAATCCCGAAAATACAATCCAAACTCGAGTTGAGGCACTACAGAAATTTTTCACCAACCTTCGACAAGAGGGACTTAAGCCAGCATTTGTTCTCTTAGATAAAGATGCAGGAGAGATATCAGCTGTAAGTGCAGCATGGTCATGGATCGCAAATATTCAATTGTGTTATTGGCACTTAGAACACGCTATTGATCGAAGGTTAAAAGACAGAAAATCAAAAACACGAATGTATACTGAAACTAAGGCTTTAGAAGCAAACCGTATTTTTAGTTTTATTGATCCATCTTGGATTATGAGAGACAATGACAATAATAGTCTTTGGTGTCCAGATGAGTCTGTGAAAGAACTATTAGATATGGTTAAAAAACATGCGAATATGCATCCACTCATTCCACTATCAAAGAATACTTTCCTAAATTCAAGAGAAATATACCACCATTGTGTCAGAGAGGTGTATCAATTCTGTCATTCACGAGATCTAAGAAAACTATGGGGTTATTTATGGATGAGTTGGTACAATGAAAAAGACTGGAAACTATTCGCTCGATCTTCCTACTCACCTGCCATGCCGTTGGCACGCACAACAATGATTACGGAAAGTCACTGGCGTGTGCTGAAATACAATTACAAATATTATTACAACAGACCGCGACTCGATCATCTTACCCAAATCTTGGCTGAACAGCTAATTCCCGACTTCGAATTCAAGTTAGCGCAGTATAATCGAAACCGTGGATTTCCGACTTGGTGGCAGAATTTTAAAAAGGACTGGAACAGCATCTCGTTAGCTGATATTGAGCCTGGAATGGATGACAGATATCATGTTGATATTAATAACTGGATATGCTCATGTCCCGCATACTTAAGGAGTAGATATCTCATTTGCAAACATCTCGTCTGTAAAAAAAATGGTAGACAGTTTATACCCACATACACTGAAACAGCACGCCGCCATGATTATCCCTTTCTTGTCTTCGAAAACAATAATCTTCCGACTATTACCCCGACAAACAATCCTTGGGTTATGTATGGGATGAATGAGGAACTTGACACTCACAATGAGGAAGATTCTGGTACAGTCATCGAACAAGAAACACTTGAGCATACCGGACTCGATGTGCTGGCAGAGAGGCGTCAGCGGCTGGCTGTATATAGAAGAAAGTTCGAAGCCGCACTAGCGTTGTATGAACGGGAAATAGACAACGACGATTTCGTAAGAAATTACGATGCACTGGTAAGGCCAATAGTCAAAGCAGTCGACGAATGTGAACAAGCTTTACAAGCTCGTAGTCAGCAGGGTACCTGGGGTCCAAATAGTGGAAGGCTTGCGTTTTGGTTGCGTTGATCTTGGAAACCATTATAATTATAATAATAAAAAAGTTGTTTACAAATATTAAATAAATAATTGTGACGCGATGTTTGTTATTATTATTATTGTGCGACATCCGATTCCGAAGCTCGATTGTTCCGATCCGAACATTCTCACATGATCCGAACATTTTTTTTCGCCATGGCTAGGTTACTAGTTTCTCCTCCTTCGATTTCAGTAATGTTGTTTTCAAGTGATTGGGTAGAGCCATATAAAATATGCGTGTGCGCATCTAGCACGCTTAATAGTAACCATTAAACAAACCATAAAAATAATTATGTGTATACGGACATTCCATTATCTTTTAGCACATTTCTCGACAATCCAGTAACTTCTTGATTGCTGTAAACAAAAAACATATTTCGTTGAAAAATTACTGAAGCTGAGAAAAAAAGGTATTTTTTTATTGCAAATCAGGGAATGTGAAACGCAGCGCGTGTTTTTGTCAAATACTTTTCGCATTGTGTACGTAACAATATTTAGAGACAAAATGTTCGCTAAGTATAAGGTTGTTATTGGTCGTCAATATGTAAAAATTTTATATTAATTAATTAATCTTTGCATAGACGTCTGAATAGGCAAATCAAAATTTACTTTGCGATCTTCACATACATAGTTGGTAGACTTGCATCGTTAGGGACTACATTATCATTAAATATAAAAGTAGTGGTGATAGATCTTCAACGGATTGATACCATAGATAAGCAGCGGAATGAATCAAAGATTTTGGTTCTTACAAAGTGTCAGACATTTTATCGATCGGAAGATTTCAAAGAAGGCTTGGGATAACTTTTATCTACAGGATTCTTGCACGTTGCGTTTGAATACTATTATCCAATGTCAAATGAAGCAATCACGATGAAGAGTTGAACCAGATAACTCTGCGAATTGTACGGATCGTTTTGAGAGAAGTATAAAAACAATGTTGGGAAACGCGAAACCAACTGAAATTGACAATGAAGCTTAAACTGACCTAGTATTATTATTC